GTCAAAATGCGTCTTAAAGGTGAAGAGTGCAACTTTCGTGTACAATTTTTGCATTTCGTCCTAACTGAAGTCAGTTACTATAAACCTGTTAATTATAAAATTTCATGTTGTAGGTTTTGAACATTGACTCTAAAAAAGAAAATTCCATAGTGACTGGTCAATGGAAGTTATGAAATTTTATTGATCTTATTTAAATTTTTGTTTATAGAATTTCTACCGTCAAGTTTTATTTAAAAAATTGGTTTCGTTAACTGACGTTCAAAATCGCTTGTCGCTTTAAACGATTTTTTTAAAGAGAACAGTTAATTCTACAGAAAAATTGCAAATAGACATTTTTGTTTAAAATTATCTCGGCTACGTTTCATGTTTCAAACATTTTTTTATTTTATTTTTTTTTTTTTGGTAAATCGATGTTTTTCGTTCTCCCCCTACGAGGGTGGTTTTAGTGGATACCTGGGGTGGGACTGGCAAACTTTTTTGCATCTCTTTTGATGTTCAGTAGTATTTTTGTCTCTGACGACTGGAGTATGAACATTGGCGGACTAGACAATGGTATAGTTCGAATGCCTTGAAAACTGTTTAGTAACTTAGAGGTATCCACACAGAAGTCGTCCTACAAAAAAAGACGCCCAAAAATTTGAAACCACTTCGTTACTTCGGACAATGTGTAATATTAATTTAAAACCATTAATGACAAAACAAATTTTAATTAATGAAAATGAATTTCGAGCTGTGGTACATGTAATAGAGAATCCAAAAATAAGTACACTCTAATTGAGCAATAATACAGAGATCAGTGCAGCTACAGTTCAAAGAATTATAAAGAAAAACAAGTTTCATCCATTTTAAATTCAGTTGCATCAGGAATTAAATGAAAATCATTTTAAAAGAAAAATTAATTTTTTATGTAGGAAAAAAGTATTAAGTAATATGTTTTTTGGAAAATATTTTATTTCCTGACGAATCGAAGTTTCATCATAATGGGTTCGTTAACATAATATGACAAATGACATAATTATTATTATACTACAATGAAAACCTTTCAAGTACTTTGTTAGATTTATAGTATCCTGTGGTATTAAATACTTTGTATTAAATACGTAAAAAGTTAAACCACATCAAAGCTGACTAACAAATGTCCCGGCTCAAGAGTCACTTTTTTTTATACGTTCGATGAAGTGGCTTGCATTTTTGATGTAAGACTCCGCTTCTTCTGCATATAGTTGTAGCTGTTCAGCCATACATTTTGCCAGTGGTTGTAGAAGAGATCCGATAGAACTAACTATTGGTCGTAATGGTAATCCTGCCTTATGTACCTTGGGTAGGCCGTAAATTTTTGGACATCTTGACGACTTTTCTCCAGGTATGAGATGTAACTTATGTTCTTTCATGATGTCTGAGGCATTGATCTTGTCTTTTGTTACTTTTTCTAGATATGTTGTGGGGCCCGACGAGATTCTTTGATATGTCGTATCGTTTAGGATGTCATTTATTTTTTATAACAATAAAACACTGAAAACTTTGTTTTCAAACTTCCACAAAATTTATTTTAAATATTATCACTACAGCTGTTTCGGCTGATTGCCTTTCTCAAGTGATCTATTTTGGCTTGGGTTTACAAATTTATAGTCTCTAATGAAATAGGTTGAGGAGGGGAGAACTGTTTGTCTCAAGTTGGTCATTCAGAATTATATCTGTGTTTTTTAATTTGTTGATTTCCATAGATTCTAACAAAGATAGCTTAAGGCCTTTATTTTGAATGTGAAGAATTTTAAATTTGTCATTAAAAGAATGATTATGATCTAGAAGGTGAAGTGCGTATGTCGAATCTGTTTTTCTATTCTTGAAAGCCCTTTTATGTTCTGCTATTCGTTTATCAAAGTTTCTACCAGTTTGACCGATGTAAGTTTTTGGGCAGTCGCCACATTGGAGTTTGTATACACCACTATTTAAGTGTTTTTTATTTTGGCTCTTGTTATTTTTAATATATTTGCCTAGGTTGTTATTTGTTTGGAAAGCTGGTGTTATTCCTTTCTTTTTTATGTGTTTGGCAATTTTTGTTGTTATTTTGCCTGTATATGTAATCGATCAGAAGGTACTGGGTTTTTTCTCTGGTGGTGGAAATACTAATTTCAGGGCTTTCTTGTGTAGTTTTTGATTTAACATTTTATTAATTGTTTGTTCGTTGTATCCGTTGTTTACTGCTATTTGTTTAATTATATTTAATTGTGTCTCAAAGTTGTCTTTTGACATCGGAATTTCTGTTAATCTATGTAACATACTATGATAAGCTGCCAGTTTATGTTGTGTTGGATGGGATGACGAATTGTGTATAGTCGTGTCAGTATGGGTAGGTTTATGAAATATGGAAAAGTCATGTTTGTTTTGAAGTCTGCTAATTTTTAAATCTAAAAAATTTATGGATTGATTTTGTTCTGTTTCTATTGTAAATTCAATATGACTATGAACTGAATTAATATATGATAAAAATTGGTCGAGTTGCCTGTTAGTTCCTGTGAAACATACCAGTACGTCGTCTACGTATCTCCACCAATATAAAAACTGTTTGAATACGGGATGTTTTGAAATCTTTGTCTCTAGATTAACAGATAGAATCTCTACATACATTAACAGAAATTCCGATGTCAAAAGACAACTTTGAGACAGAATTAAATATAATTAAACAAATAGCAGTAAACAACGGATACAACGAACAAACAATTAATAAAATGTTAAATCAAAAACTACACAAGAAAGCCCTGAAATTAGTATTTCCACCACCAGAGAAAAAACCCAGTACCCTCTGCTCGATTACATATACAGGCAAAATAACAACAAAAATTGCCAAACACATAAAAAAAAAGGAATAACACCAGCTTTCCAAACAAATAACAACCTAGGCAAATATATTAAAAATAACAAGAGCCAAAATAAAAAAACACTTAAATAGTGGTGTATACAAACTCCAATGTGGCGACTGCCCAAAAACTTACATCGGTCAAACTGGTAGAAACTTTGATAAACGAATAGCAGAACATAAAAGGGCTTTCAAGAATAGAAAAACAGATTCGACATACGCACTTCACCTTCTAGATCATAATCATTCTTTTAATGACAAATTTAAAATTCTTCACATTCAAAATAAAGGCCTTAAGCTATCTTTGTTAGAATCTATGGAAATCAACAAATTAAAAAACACAGATATAATTCTGAATGACCAACTTGAGACAAACAGTTCTCCCCTCCTCAACCTATTTCATTAGAGACTATAAATTTGTAAACCCAAGCCAAAATAGATCACTTGAGAAAGGCAATCAGCCGAAACAGCTGTAGTGATAATATTTAAAATAAATTTTGTGGAAGTTTGAAAACAAAGTTTTCAGTGTTTTATTGTTATATAAAATGAATTTCCATCAAGTAACGGTCGAATCCATCAATCATTTATTTTTGCTGCGTATTCTTGAATATTCATTACTACTGTGGTATTGCCTTTGTCAGCTAGGAACACAATGATGTCTTTATTGTTCTTCAAATTATGCAAGACGTGTTTTTCTTCGTGAGTTAAGTTTCTTTTTGATGGTGTGGCTGTTCTTAATATTTTTGATACATCTTGGCGTATGATCTTGGCTGTTTCTGCTGAGAGATTGGTAATAGTAGTCTCAACCTCGGTAATGATATTTTCTACGGGAATTCGTGCAGGCGCAAGAGCAAAACTGAAACCTTTTGAGAGAACACTATTCGTGGCTTCATCCAATGTCAGATTTGAAAAGTTCTACACTAACTTGTTTGTTTCTGTTTGTAGTTTTTCTTTCTTCTTTGGCCGCTATTGTAGTAATAAATTTTAAAACTTTTTAATTTGTTTTTTTTTTAAGTAAAGTTAGAGCTCTTACTTACTCTGACCTTACTCTGAAGATTTCTCACGAATTCTGAACAAAAAATTGTTATATCCTGGACTAACACTGGAGATCGAAAATCAGAGTCTACAAAACTATTTTCAGACCAATACTATGCTATGGATACGAGACGTGGGTGATTACAGAAAACACAAAAAGAAAGCTGGAAGTCTTTGACAGAAAAAGAACCCTAGATAGTAAAATTAAGGCCGCAAGACCAAAAGGAATGCCACGGAAAAGGTGAGAGGAAGTGGCAGTGGATAAGCAACATTTACTAGACATAACCTGGAAAGCATCGGCGCGCATCGGCTACGTTGAAGGCATAGTTTAGAGAAAGCCAAGGCTTGAATTGGGCTGTAATGTTATGGAGAAGAGAGATGAAGAGAAACAGAGAGAAAGAAATATATTGGTGGATCCAATTGGAACTTTTAATTACATCATTATTGCTGATGAGTAAACTGTTTTGAAGTATGAACTTACTAATTTAAAATTAAGTTCATTATATTTACGATTCGTTTAATAAAGTTTCCTATTAATGTTGCAAATTTTATCTTAATATCTTTTGTAACATAAAATGAAAATTTTGAAATTAACACTAGCAAAATATAGACGTTACGTTTAGTTTTTAAGAGGTGTAACACTTTCAATAAACTCATCCTTTTTCGCAATAACAGAGTTAATATAAAAAAAATTATGTATTCCTGAATTTTTCACCGAAATTTCTGTCTAATGATGTGCCAATCCAATATATTATATTATATTCCTTACTTAAAATTAATGGTGTTCGGTATAGGAAGGGAGGAGATTGACAAATAACAGATACCTATATTATTAAAACACTTTGGAATACCATTTGGAATAAAAATCGACATTTAGCATTTTGACAAAATCTAATAAATATTGCCAAATATCAGGGTTGACTCTGTTGAGTGGCCAACCCTAAATAAACAAGTAAACAGATTCGATATAAGCTGTTCGTTTTTATCCGTCTATAATTAAAATTAAAATTAGATAATAATGAAACCTTTACCAATAATTTTTATTAAATTAAAAATAAAATATAAAGATGTTGCGTTATTAACTGGATATAACTTCTTTACTTTCAAGAACGTAAATTGAGCTTAAAGAGGGATTCTCTAGAACGAAAGCAATCTATGGAAAGGAAACGTCGTACTTCGAAATCTAAATTAGAAAGTGCTTTAAGCGTTGAAGAAGACACGCAGTTTGGATTTGAAAATAGAGCGTTCATGCCGCAACATTCCTACATAGACAATAAATTGGAGCCTGATCAGCAACGGTATTGTAGCTTGGCACAGTTTGTAGAAGGTAAAGGTAAACATAAACTGTCCTTATTTATTCTATAATTACAAAATTTTAATTTTAGGTAATGATATCGCCCGGAGGTCATTTAAACGACATCGATCTTCCACGAAAATATCTAAGACTGAAGCTAATGTTACCAGACAAACTACTTTATTAGAGGAGACTGAAGTTGTTTCACCCAGTTTAAGAGCTAGTCAAACTAGCCTCAATAAGCTCCAAAAAGAGTTATCCAATCAAAGTTTAACATTGCTAGATGATAAAGATAAGGACGAGACGGTAAGTTTACAAAATCGGGCATGAATTAAAATTTATTAAGAATATAGATCTGTGATAAACTGTTTTTAGCAATCGAAAATATTTTAAAATTTTTACTTATTTCGGTTGATTTGTGTAGCAATACTGTTTTGTTTGTAATACTTTGTTTTGTTTTTAACACTTAAAACAATATTTTGTTTGTAAATAAATTAGCGGAAAATAAAAAATACAACTCTAAATAAATTACGAAATTAACTGGTCTTACTCATTATTGTCGTCTGTACAAAGAATATGGACTTACCTTCTAAAATATTGATGTCGTAAGATTCTTAGCCAGTGGAACCTCGTTGGAAGCACGTCGGGACGCCGAGGCTCGATAGGACGATAACCCATCACTCGTTGTGTTTCGTTCGCTGTTTTGGGATGAAGTCCTGTGTTTTGAGATTGTCAGGTCAGAAGACCATCCTATGGTCGTTACGTGATGGTCCGTATACCAATAAATCACTCTATTGTATTGCGATTTTGAAGACGATAATTTAAAGTTGGATAAATTTCAGTAAGAAATGTATCCAAGCGTTGCTACGCCACTGGCATTAAATAGCTAATAATTCTTAAAATCTACCTAGATAAATTCTCGACTAATTCCCTGTTAGAAAGCGAGAACCGGTTCCCCTCAAACCCCTCAGTGGTAGTTAGGCATGGCAATCGATCAGTATCCTTGTAATATTCAAAGTGTCACGTTGTATACCAGCCAAGCTGGACGCTTTACTTATAAATTTAGTTTAAGACCCAATGGGTCGATTCTTTGTTAGTTTGAGTTCTGTATAACTCCGCTTAGTAATAATTGTAACATATTACTTGGTTAGCACCGCAGAAATATCCTTGGTTCAAAAGAATAAGTAGTATTAGTATAATTTAAATTGTATCAGTGTTCGTGTAGTGTTTATCGGACTTGTGTGGCTTGAACAGTGACGGGCGGTTTACATAAAAGAACTTTACATGACAAACCCTTGGCTAGATATCAACTTAGTGTAGTAAAAAATCAATCATTAAATTAAGTATTGTTAACGCTTGTGGTTTTATTTCCCATGTAAAGTGGGTGGTCCTTCAACGTTGGAAATCATTACGATTTAAGATGCTCTAAATGGTAAGAAGATCTACTTCCTAATTGGTTTCATTTTTGTTGGTCGTCTGCGAGTGGATGAGGAACCATTTAAACCATAGTATCTGCTATTATCTTCTACCATTTTTGTTGGTCATTCGACCGGATTTTGAACCAATTTATTTGCAAGTGAAATCTCACTTTTATTGAAAAACTTTCGCTAAAAATAAAAAATTTAAATTAGTTGACTTCCGCATTCTAGCCAAAGTTGTGTATCGCCGCTCTAAATATTTAATTTCAGAACTTTTCGTTGAAAAACACTTAAACCGCGTCGGTAGTGATATATGTGAGCCATCAAGTTACGCCATTGAGGAATTCATCTTGTAAGCGCATACCTGTGTATTCTTATCGGACCGAGCAGCGGTGACCTATTGTTCCCAGGAAATTCCAAAGAAGGTCGCAAGTTTACAACAGTTATTGTTATCTATTGGTATCGTTAAATCTATTATTTACAATATTTCATAGAAAATTTTATACTCAAAAGACTTAATCATTTTATTGTTGTCAATTGTACTAATTTGTAAAATTTTCTATAATGACTTCTCAGAATTTAACCAAGCAAATTGGGGGTTTTAAATCTCAATTGACCCGTATTGAAAGCTTTTTGAATACTAATTCAGATGATTTGAATAATAAACAGCTAATACAATTAAAATATGATAGTTTATTTGGAACTTATAGGAAATTACAAGATTTATTAGATCATGCGGAAGAGTTAAGTTCTGATGGTTCAACGACTGATGATACTGTATCATCACAAAACGAAGTTGTGGCATCAGCAATGGAAACTATCGACCGTTTTGAGTTCATTTTGGCCAAATTATTAAATTTAATAAATCACGCTGATGATTCTAGAGTTTCTCAAAATCATTTTTCTAATGTAAAGCTACCAGATATTAATATTAAACCCTTCTCGGGTGAAGCTCAAGAATGGCAATCATTCTTCGATTTGTTTCAAGCACTTGTGTTAAATAATGCCAAATTAAGATCTGATAGCGAAAAATTTTATTATTTAAAAACGCTTCTGAGAGGTCAACCGCTACAATTAATTGAATCTTTATCTGTGACTAATCAAAATTTAGAAATTGCTATATCAACGCTTAAAACTAATTACGAAGACAAAAATAAGCTTTTAAATTCTTTGTATTGTACATTATTCGATCAAAAAACTATGACTAAATGTAATTCTATTGAACTAAGGACGTTTCATATCACATGTAAAAAAACATTAGATTTAATTAGAAACTTAAACTTAACGGCTGAAATTAATTTAGACACATTGCTAGTATTTATCTTAGAAAGAAAACTAGATTATCAGACTAGACGCGCTTTTGAAAACGAACGCAATCCAAACGAACTGCCATCTACTAATGGGTTTTTTGAATTTTTGCAAAAACGGTATAATGTATTAGATAATTTAAACATATTTGAATCTAACGCAAAACCTAGAAGTAATAATAATAGTAATTTTGATAGGAACACATCTAGAGTATCATTACACACAAACGCCGCTGAATCTCGTCGTGACACAAATTTTTATAGTAAATCATGTAATTATTGCAAAGAGCGCACGCATCAGATATATAAATGTCAACAATTTTTAAATTTAGTTCCACAGGAAAGACATAAATTTGTTAAAGCCAAATCATTATGTTTTAATTGTTTGAGTAGTTTGCATATCATGTCTTCCTGTAAATCGTTGTCCCGGTGTCAAGTATGCACGAAAAATCATCACTCTTTACTCCATTTAGACAATAACGGTCAGCAGCGATATCAATCGCAAGTTCGAACCTACGCTTCTTCTAATTTTCCACATAGTTCTCATCAACAAAGCGAAAACTTACATAGGCATAATTCTAATCCCAATAGCACTATCCATAATATTGTGTCCAATAATATTACTCCAAATGAAAATTCCCCTATTAATCTTCAGATGGACCCAACCAGGTCTACATCATTGTCTGCTGTGAATCGCAATAATAATCATGTTCTTCTGCCTACTGCACTAGTTAAACTTTATACGCGAGACAACCAACCATTAATAATTAAGGCTTTGTTGGACTCAGGCAGTATGCAAAGTTTTGTCACAAAAAGTTTGGCCCAAAAATTACAGTACGACACAAGATCTCAAAAGTTAAATATTTCTGGTCTAGGAAATAACATTGTAACCAAAAGTAGTGAAATGATTGATATAGAAATACATTCGCGAGTACACCCTTACAAAAAATTTAATGTTTCTTGTTCAATAATAGACCAAATCACAGAAAATTTGCCACAAATTCCGTTAAATCCGCAGTCTTTTCAAATTCCACTAGAGTTTAATGGCGATTTAGCGGACCCCTACTTCTGGGAACCTAATAATATTGATTTATTAATTGGCGCGAATTTGTATTTCCAACTTTTAATAGGAGAAATAATCTCGCTAGGGGCTAATCTCCCTACGCTAATGAACACTCAATTAGGATATGTTATTGCGGGCCCACTCACATCAAAGAAATATCTAAGTCATACCAACGCATCCTTTGTAACACAAACTTTCTCCTTTTTATCTCGAGAAAATACGCATTATATTCAAGATAAAGAGGAAGAAAACAACGCAAAAATCGACACAATGCTAGAAAAATTTTGGGAAGTCGAAGAACTTCCATATACGCAGTCTCATATTGATGAAGACAAAATTGCAGAGACTCTTTTCCAAACCACCACGCGGATTTTGGATTCAGGGCGGTATCAAGTGGAAATGCCTCTTCGGCAATTGGAAAATAAAAAATTGGGCAGTTCCTTTGTTACTGCAAAACAAAGATTTTTACGTTTAGAGAAAAAATTTGACAATGATCAAAATTTTTATAATGAATATAAAAAATTTATTGAAGAGTATCCAACTCTACAACACGCAAAAGTTATACCTTTAAACTTGTATGATAATGTCACTAACAAAATAAAATATTTTATACCACATCGTGCTGTGATCAGAGAACAGGCAACATCCACGAAACTTCGCGTCGTATATGACTTTTCTGCCAAATCTACCTCAGGATATTCGCTGAATGATCTTACACTAAAAGGTTATCAAGTACAGGATAATTTATTTGATATTCTTTGCCGGTTTAGGACTTTTAAATTTATTTTGACTGCGGATATAAAGATGATGTATAGAGAAATTGAAATGTCACCCAAACACCGCTATTTACAAAATATATTGTGGAGAGATTCACCCTCTGAGGATTTTAAATGCATTGAATTGTTCCGTCTCAGTTTTGGACAAAATTGTTCTCCATTTTTAGCCACCCGCGTCATTAAAGATATTGCACAAAATAACCCTCAATTTCCGCTAGCAGCTAGCGCTTTGTTATATCAAACATATATGGATGACATCTATGAATAAATCAATATTATTAGGTTCCCAGAAGTAGGGGTCCGCTAAATCGCCATTAAACTCTAGTGGAATTTGAAAAGACTGCGGATTTAACGGAATTTGTGGCAAATTTTCTGTGATTTGGTCTATTATTGAACAAGAAACATTAAATTTTTTGTAAGGCCAATTGATTCCAAAATGAGGTAATCAAATGTAAGATGGTCGGAAAGCTTGGTGAAAGCCGCTTAAGTAAGACATGTCTGTCAAGGGAATTGATATTAGTATGATCCAAATTAAAGATTCATTAAAAAATGCAGATTTTTGAAAACTGCAACACAAATGGGAATAAAAGCAAAGGGAATGATGATGCAAACCTTCCAACGTGTCCAAAAACAGTATCGTGAGTAGGTTGTTTATTTTTATTTAGTTTATGTTCAAGTCTCGTTTATAATTATACAGTAACTTTTTCATTACAGTGAATTTTCTGTAATAAATGAAATATTTAAAATAAATTCCATTACAGATCTATATTTTATATAAAACTAGAAATACCAAGCATGCTACTCCCCGCTATATTAGTGCAAATATTCTGAAAAAAGCATCCCTTTCAGTGTAAATTTCCCCAAGTAAGCGTAATAGTAGAACCCCCGTCTCCCGTCCTCACCGAACAAATACGCTCCGAACGCTTGGAGCATATTCGCGTAGAAATTGATGGCGAACTAGATCCCGACCTTGAGCTGCTCTGTTCTAAGGCTGACCGACTGAGCGACAAAATAAGCGACAAAAGTACCAGTAACAACAGTTCCAACTCCAACCTTTTGGGGATCAGTCCTGAGAATTTTCTTACGAGATCCCCAGCTGCAACGAGAAGGATTTCCTGTTGCAGTATGTTAAATCCTGCAGAAGCAGCTGCGTTGGCAGCGGCAGCTGCAGTTGGCAGCAAGTTCTACGAGGCGACTTCAGAAAAGAAAGATCCTGACAAAAGAGAAGAGAAGGAAAACAGAAAGTTGCCTATCATCAATCCCCTAGTACGGCTACCAACTTGGCCAAGTAAGTATATATAATTTTTTCATTATTATTTTACAAAATTTAACGGTTATATGGGATCACATCAGTAATATTATTTTTGTATATGATTTTATTTATTTGTATAAAACATTTGTATCGCAAATTATATTGTTTTAAATGGGTTATCCTCTATAAATATAAAAAGTTATCCCTCTTTGTTAGATACAATATCAGTTTTACGATTGTTAATAATCTGGGAATATCTGGTCTTGTTTTAGGTTTCTTAACCTGCTAAGCTAACAAGTTATATGAAATTTGATCTTTTTCTGGTGCACTCCATTACTGGAGGTTTGCGATGACTATATCAAAATGTTCTTTGTTCAGCGCCACTCTTAGTAATTTTGGAACGTTCATGCCCTTTCAAGTTCTGATATTGCGAAGCTATGACATGGCTCTTTTGACATGATTGACAGTGTTTCTGGAATTTGATACTGTTTAAATATTAAGCAATTTTTTTAAATATGGAAAGATATCATTTGCATGTTATTTAAAACTTTCCAAGTATTGTAATACCTTCTTTTAGGTCATTCAGCACGCATTCAGCTGTTCAGTGAATCTTTACTTCAAAAATTATTCTTCATGTCTTGTTGTTTATTTATAGTAAAAATTTGTTTCAATTCAAATTTTCCATCTCTCAAGGTTCTAAATTGTATTTTCACAAGTAAATAATGTTTAAATTTGACGAATGGTTTCCCGAAGTTCATAAATCATATCGTTTTGTATTTTAAACATTTTCTGTTCCAAATCCTGAAAATCTAAATAAATCTTCATTAATGTGAGTAAAAACATAACATCAAATATTTTGTCACAAAAATATTTTATTTCCTATCTTCCCAATTCAAAAAAGGTCTCGAATTCATTATTTATAAGACCAGTTGATAAATCTAAACTGATCCAAACAATCAGTAGTATCAAAAGCAAATCTTCATGCAGTACTGATGGACTATCCATAAAAATTTTCATTAATCTTCCAAAGTTTTGGAAGCCCTCCTTCTTCTTCATGTACTATGTCCTTTCAGAACGTTGGTTACCATCATAGCTATCTTAATTTTATTCACTGCCACCCTAAATAGCAGGCTTGTATCAACACCATACCAATCTCGCAAGTTCTTCAACCACGAGGTTCTTCTTCGTCCTGGATTGCATTTGCCTGCTATTTTTCCTTGCATGATATTTTGTAGCAACCTATATTTGGGATAGGTTGCTCTCATTACATGTCCGAAATATTCCATCTTTCTCTGCTTGATACTTTTTATGATTTCAGTAGTCTTGCTGAGACGTTCTAGTATTGTGGAGTTTCGAATCTTCTTCACCCAGGAAACTTTTAAAATTCTTCTATTGCACCACATTTCGAAAGCCTCAAGGCAATTTAGATCGATTTTATTCACAGTCCAGGGCTCGACACCATAAAGTAAGACCGAGAACACGTAGCAGCGAAGTCGTAGTCTCACTAATTCATGATTCCTTTAAAAAAAACATATTTGCAGAGTGCCTAAAGACAGTCATTATTATTTCTCTTCACAAGGGTGGTGAAAAATTGAATGTCTGCAAATATAGACCTAATGCCTTACTACCGGTCCTATCAAAAATTATAAATTATTAAGAGACTTATAAAAGACCAACTTATGTCCTTTCTCGTTGAAAACAACATTTTATCAGTCAGTTCGGCTTTTTATCTAATAAATGTACCAGTGATGCTATGTTTTCTGTACTACATGAGGTCTATCAAGCACTAAACAATAATATTTAGATTGCCACTATTTTTTGTGACTATGCCAAAACTTTTGATTGTGTAAATCACGACCTTATGATAAAAAAAAACTAAATTTCTACGGAATTCGAGGTATTTCTTCAAATTCAATCTTCCTTGAGGAATAGAAACCAACTAGTTAGAGCAAATTATACTGACTCTAGTCTCAAAAACATTGTATGTGGAGTACCACAAGGTTCAGTACTGGGACCTCTTCTTTCCTTATCTGCATAAATGACATCACTAACTTAAAAATCGATGTTAACTTTTTTCTTTTTGCTGATGATACCAAATTCACCTGGAGGAACTAATATTGTAACTCTCATGCAACTATAACTTCTGATCTACTTAAAATAAAAACCTGGTCCGACTCTAATTTACTCTCATTTAACGTGGATCAGTCACATTATCCTATAAGGGAGCTCTTTCCCTAGGTTCTTAATAACAGCTAGGTCCGTATCGTTCATTCTGTAAAATTTCTTGGTATTTTTAGAGACAGCAACCTTAAATGATCTCTTCATATCGATTTTTTAAGTAAGAAACTCGGCTTAGCCTGCTATGCAATAGATCTGTTTCGAAGGAAATCAATTTAGCATCTTCCAAAATATCATATTTTGCTTTGTTCGAGTCTCACCTTCAATATGGTCTTCCTTTTTGGGGTTCTAGTACAGCTGCCCAATCTGATGTTATTTTTAAATTACAAAAAAAAGAGCAATACTATATCTTCTTACTCTATAAAATCACGGGATTTTACCTCTTCCCACTTTATATAACTGTTTGCTTAATTCGTAAACACCTGCATGTTTTTCCAGCAAGACTTAATGATGACTACTTCACCTGAAATTCAACCTTTGATGTATATTTACTGATCCCGTCCACTAAGTTAGTAAAAGAAATCTATATTATACTTAGCAAAAAAATTATACAACTATCTCCCTTTGCAACTTAAATCTACAACTTCTTTCCTTAAGTTCCGTAAAATGACAAAAGCCTATCTATCTCAAAGACCATATTTTACCATTTTGTTCTTTGTTTATATCGTCCCTGATTGCAGTCACCTGCACTTTAACGTAGATGGGACCTATATTTTCGTATCATTGCTTTTCAGCATACGAATCGTATGCTTGCAATTTTCTTGTTTGCTCTTTTTATATTTTTCTCAAAATATTTCAAATCTTCCGTCATTAGCAAAAGCTATTCAATTTGTTCCTCATCATGATCATTTTTACAGTGATTTTCGATTTATGTACCGGTTCATCCATTCATACCAAATTTTACTGATCTGATTATAAATATTAGCCCACTTATAAATTTAACAGAAAATGAATCATAGCTAATGTTTTATAATCTGAGGTAGAAGGAATTTTACTCCCCAGCAATTACTGTAGATTAATAAATCCGTAAACTAATTTTCCAAACCAAATTCAGATTTCTGCTTTAATCTGTGCCTTCTAAGAATTGCAAGGCAAAACAGACGTTGATAAAAATGTAATTAGAGACATGGGGAATCTAAAATTGCATTCCACAACATATCTCCTCAATTAAACAAAAATCCTTTGCGAATTGGTTTCTCGTACTCATAAAGAGTATTTTGAAATAAAAGGAAAGACAGTTTATCAACATCTGTTTTGCCTTGCAATTCTTAGAAGGTACAGTTTAAAGCAGAAATCTGAATTTGGTTTTGAAAATTAGTTTACGGATTTATTTATCAGATGTCGTCTATTGCGTCTAGATCGAAGCCATTTTAGTGTTGCTTCTTTTATGACAGGAAAGATTGTTTTCATGTTCAGAGCGTTTTTGAATAGCCGCTCCGAAGATCCCTTTTAGGGTAAAATACGTATAAGCGGATACACACACGGACTTTACGTGAAATCAAATCTTAACTGTCTTTCCTTACTCTAGCTTACTTTACAGCGCATAGAAAACGCATAAGCTTTCAATACTAAACGCGTTGCTTTTTGCGGTCAAATTTCAAAATATTTCTTATTTAAAAACATCCTCTATATTTATAGAGATTATAGATATATCCATCTATATTTATAGAGATTAATTTCTTACTTTTTTGTATTAATATAAATTTGTTCTAGATGTTAACACTGGAGGCGGATTTATTAGCAAGTGCCTCCTAGCCAATGCGGATACATTATGTGCAGCTGTGAGTCCTCTAATCGACCCTGATGAGACACTTTCGGAAGGTTTCTACGAACGTTGCGTAATGAACAATTACTTTGGAATAGGTATCGATGCAAAAATTTCTTTAGATTTTCATCACAAACGAGAAGAACATCCCGAGAAATGTCGATCACGAGCTAAAAATTATATGTGGTATGGAGTATTGGGTAGTAAACAGTGGTTGCAGAAAACTTACAAAAATTTGGAGCAAAGGGTTCAACTTGAATGCGATGGTCAAAGAATACCATTACCAAGCCTTCAAGGAATTGTAATACTAAACATTCCAAGGTAAATTATTTTAACCTTTTTCTTTAGTACTGTAAAATATTTTTTAGTAGATAATTATATTGAGGTAATTTCTAATTGATAAGAGAAATAGATACAAGATTAATAGTATATTCAGCATAAGTAATTAAGCAAGATGCAAATTGTGAATGCAATATATTAGTATTAAAATAATTTGCTGATACTCGTATTGCTAATTGTACGAGAGTTGATGCCCAGTGCTGGTTCACTTTATTTCAGCTAACTAGGTCTTCAGCCAACTGTGTTTTGAGTCACTTGCATTGGTCGTCAAGACAGTAAAAAAGTTAAAACAAAAGATAACAACACAAAACTTTATATATCGCTAACGTAGTCTTTCAACGCTAAACGTCTGAGATAGGACACCATTTTATCTTTAAGCTCTTTGTCGTTTCCAAACTTCTTTCCTGTCAAGACTTTCTACAGAATAAATCGAATGGCGCGAGGTCTGGGTTTTGAAAAGGTTCTCGAAAATCTTCCATTGTAGACGTTGAAGTTCTTGCTGATTTCTTACCGATTCATGGGCTCGAGCATTGTCGTAAATCGAAAATACCTTCTTCCACAACAGGCCACGTCATTTATTCTGTATCACATGTTTAAGCCTTTGAAATGATTTGCAATTCTCTTTTGAATTTATGGTTTTGCTCCTAGTTATAAACCCTACCTAAGTTAAACTTGTACTGTTGCCGTCAGTGTTCTTGTGTTCAGATTCGGTTTTTTTTTATCTTCTTCTTAACGTGCCCTATCAAGTCCCTTTAACGTTGGCGATTAACATGGCGAAACTGTCTCTGTCTCGAGATATTCTAAAGAGTTGCTCAGCTTTCTTTATTCCTGTCCACTCCCTGATATTCTTCAACCAAGAGGCCTGCTTTCTACCAATTCCTCTGCGTCCTTTTTTTTATCACTTTGTTTTTTATTGTACACAATATTTTTCTTAGTTGAACATAATACACCATTTCATTACTAAAGATTCACTAATTACATTACATAGCCAGCCTTTTTGCCTATAAATATCGATAGGGCACACATTCTGTCCATTCAAAAACCGAATCACACGTATCGTACTTCACTGCAGGATTTTCAATGAGCGCAGTCATTTTAAAATGTTATATAACAAAGATGCATGACCACACAGTAATGATAATTGGCTCACACTGATACGACAGATAATGGTAAATGGCGAGCACCAAGTCGAGGTGGTGGAGGATCGTTGCTGAACGTGATGCACGGTCTTTCCTTTCTGGACGACCATGGTACTATTAGCGGTGCGTTGGTATTGCATTATCTTCGTTTAAATGTATATTACTGTATTTGATTGCGTATGCGTCGTTTATAACTGGTATTCTTATATGCTTATGGATATGTTCCATCATCTGCAGAACATCTGCCATCGTTCTTGGTGTTTTGTACTGGTAAGTCAAGTAACTAGAATGTCCATCAACGAAAAATATAATTATTCTCACCTTTGCTAAGTTTAAAAATTAATTCCACAAAATCAATGAGCTGAAGCTTTGTTGCTGGAAAACCACGATCAGAAATATAAAATAACCATTTGATCAACAGATTTTCTTCATCAGCGTTTAAATTTGTTGCACGTCCCTTTCTGCATTCTCTGGGGTATTTACCACTTTTTTATATATTAATGTAGTTCTTGGGATCCCATATTTTTTGCTTTTTGTTAGAACAGGTATTCCGTTGTCAATATCTACCAGGGCTTGGCGTAATTTTCATTAGAATATTTCTTCGACATTGTCAACTGAAATACAAAGAAAATCTAAATTATTAAACAAATATTATTTGGGCCCAGTAGCTGACATAATGTTAGTAACCGATATCAGACATGGGTGTCAGCTACTGGTACAACATAAAATTATAAAATTTTGGTTGCATTTACAGGGTTATTTACGTGCTTCCTACTTAAATATTCATTCAAAGTATAAAACATCTGAAACCCGATAGCTGACACTAATGTCACTTACTGGATACTCGCTCGGATCTTGTACCAGTAACTGACACCCTCTATCCTAACATTACTTTATTAACATAAGGTAATTTTAACAACAAAAACGTACATTTATATTATTGTTAAATGGATCTAGACTACAATACTTACCCTTTAAATACACATTAACGTCACACACCTAATTTATATAAACTATTTTTTTAGCGTTTTTGCTTAATAATTTCGGCAAAACGTGAACATTTAGGTGACTTATAGAACTAGTTACCAACCTTAAAATTTGTTTTATCGGCGCATTGATACCAACATATTCAAACTATTATCCAAGGAAGCAAAGACCGTCAATACTACAGACTATACTATTTCAAATAGTCTTAGTACATAAATAACAAATTCTGGTGTCGCTTATTGGGTACTCTCAGCAATAGGAGCCACTAATTTATTCGTTACGGATATCAAAAGCAGAGAGAAATGCGCAATAACGTTTGTTCTCTGCGGGGGCCAGCAGGCAAAAGAGAAAGACAGATTTTTGTTTGCATTGTCCAAGAATGTCTGTACTTGGGTAGGGGTAAAAGTAGGTATTTGAAACGTATACTAAGGGTTGGCTTAAATATTGCTTAAATATTGATTTAAAATTGAGGGTGGTAATTTGGGATTTGATACAGAAAAATATAGTATTGTTTTTCTTATGTGAAAAATTGTACAAAAATATTTCTGCTTTCAGCAGTCCTGATTAATACCTTTCTAATCTTCTACCATAAAACCTCTACTAAAATCATGCAATTGCATAAAATCATGCATTTGAATATCGAGAATAAATTTATATTCGTTTATACTGTATTAATATTGTTTGATAGCTATTTTTGTGGCATTTAATATTATTTACTATGTTTAATGAGAATTAAGCTCAATTTTGGTTGAAAATACGTTTATTTTGACGTTTCGATTTCCACTTCGGAGTAAGGTATTATTTCGAGAACGATTTCTAAAGTAGAAACCAAAACATCAGGAAATTCTGATTATTAAATATAGCAAATGATAATATATCAACCTAAACTAATGATAACAGATAATTTTTAAGAATTTAAAATTTTAAGTTTAATGAAAAACAAAAGATCGATTTTAATGTATTTATATGAGTAAAGTAATTAATTAGTTAATGATTAATTAACGAGTGGTTTATTTTGTTCTAGTTTTATGGGTGGAATAAATTTTTGGGGAGGCACAAAAGAGGGTGATATATTTTTGGCGCCTTCTTTCGATGACAAAATACTAGAAGTTGTTGCTGTATTTGGATCCGTACAAATGGCAGCTTCTAGACTAATAAATCTCCAGCATCACCGAATAGCTCAGTGTCAAAGCATTCAAATTAACATTTTAGGTGTGTATATAAACATTTTATTCATACTTTAATTATAGCTGTAATTATTGCGGACGTTTATGGACCATGATGTGAAATTATCGCCACATATGACGATTATGTGAAAGTTCTGGAACATTTCGTGAAACTATTGGATAATTGGACTAAAAACCATAACTAACTATATCCCCAAAAAAATCTGCCATTATGATATTTACAAGACATAAAATACGTACTCCTGATAGCCTAAATCTGTCAGAATATGTTATACCTGTTATCAGTGAGTATAAATATCTTGGTATAATATTAGACTCCAAATTACTATGGTCCAAACATGTCCAATATGTAAAAAAAAAGATGTGAGAAAGGCATAAATCTCCTTAAATGTGTCACTTGCAAGAGATGGGGTGCTGATCCCAAAGTGGCATTGATGTTTTACAGGACGTATGTTTGATCAATTTTGGATTACGGATGTATATTATACGGATCAGTAAGCAATACATATTTACTAAAAATAGATCTTATTCAGTTTAAAAGTTTGATATTAACTCTGGGTGATATGAAAACAACACCATGTCCTCTGTTACTTGATAAAAGTAATAAAATGCCACTAGAAAATCGTAGAAATGTATTAGCAACAAAATATGTTTAAAAATTAAGGGCCACAACAAGTTGCTTACTGAGTATGCTGTATGAATATCCATACAAAATCTAGTAAACAATTATTGGAAAATAAAAAATTCACCACCATTAGCGGATGCCTTTTTAGAAACCACTGATTTAAGGGTTACACTTTTAACAAATTTTATTATATCATTCTATAAATTAGAATTTAATACGATCTTTAAACAACCAAATAATATAATTTCGAAATATTCAGATTCACATCAAATAAATAACAAGTTTTTTAATTCCATATTGATTGAATATAGGTACTAATAAAATTATAATTTACACAGATGCTCTAAATTTCATTCCAATTCCAAATGATTCCAATAACAAACCTTTTAAAATAAAACTTCCTCCACATTGCTATATTTACACTGTAGAAGCGGTAGCTATTAGGAAAGCTCTGGATTGGCTAGAGCAAGAAAATTTACAAAATGCTGTGATTATCTCAGACTCTAAGGCAGTTCTTACTGAACTTAATAATACTGAGTAACACCATAAGATATAATATACATATTATGTAAGCTGATATGTGACATTAAACAAAAAATGAGAAACAAAGATGTTACATTTATTTGGGCAAAAAGTCACACCAGGATGAAAGGCAATGAAATAGTAGACGAGCTCGCTAAGGATTCTACTTCTATTCATTCGGTATGCAAGAAAATATATAGCCAGTATTAGATCTTATCAATTTTTATAATAAAAAAATAAATTTTCACTGGCAAGACAAATAGAAAATATTGGCGAACACATCAAATAATCTATATTACAAGATTCATCCTACGTTGCCGTCATTAAAATATACAAACGAACAGCAGCAACTATCACAAGGATAAAAACCAGTCACGGTGCTGTTGCTGCTCACCTGGTTAGATTAAACATTATAAAGTCAGGAAAGTGCTCATGCGATAATATTTCCCAGTGTGATGTTAATCACACCATGTTTCGATATAATAAAAATAAAGCACTCTCATCTACATTTAATGAAAACTTGGTTAAAAGTAATGTGTAACTTTCAGTAAACATAACCCATCTACTTTCACTGAATCAGAAATCAATATACGATCTCATATGTAATCACTTGTATGCGTACAGATATATAATATAAATTTGTTACAATTAAGTTTTAAATCATAAACATAACAAATCGTTCAAAAATCTGTGGCAAATGGACTAGTTTCCATGTCAAACACACTATCCTCATCATCAAAGGCAATATTGATTGTTATTAAAATTATATAAAACAAGTAAAATTAGTGGAAGATTCAAACCCCAATTATCCAAGTCCAAAAGTAGAAACAATAACGCATAGCTACTATTCGAATTGTTACATCAACCATATAAGTTATATTTAAGTTTCTACCTCACTTATATTTGATAGTGGGAAGGTCACGTAGGCAATATACCGCGCCCATTAGAAAGAGTTAAAGGAACTGCTTTGCCTTTATTATATGCCTACGATAGACCCTAACCTTACCTAACCTTTACAAAACATCAGCTGCACAAGTTAATACTTATAAAGCATTATTTAATCTTTCGAAGAAACTTTAAAGTCTCTGAAATAAAAATGCGGTATAAATAATAATTTAGTTTATAAGTAAACTTTATATATTATATAAATAAATCATTAAGTTTTAAAAAATTCATGGTTGACGAAGATTTACATTGTGCTTTTGAATTTACAGGAGACGAAGGTGTTCCCATTCAAGTGGACGGTGAGGCTTGGATCCAACCTCCAGGCATCATTCGCATTCTGCACAAAAACCGAATGCAAATGTTATGTAGAAATCGTTCCCTTGAAAACTCACTAAAAAGCTGGGAAGAGAAACGTCGACAAAGTTTATCAGCTCAAGGAGCTAAACCTCGCCCATCAATATCACACGACAAAGGGCGTTCAAGTCTTACCAGGCAATCTATGCCCGCTCACGAGAAATCTTTCTTGGGTGTCAATATCGAAAAAATTCGTCAACACTCATTTAGTGGAGCTGTACCTACTCAACATATCGAAAAAGAAAAGTTAACAGTTACATTTGTCGATAAGCCGATAGATCCAGCTGAGCCCGATTTACTCTTCAGTGAGGAAGAACATTATTTACTAATCAATTTTATTGAATGCGTAACGACACTTACGAAATGGATAAAAATACTAGCTATAAGATATCAATTAGAAGTAAGTATAATATTATTGTAACCTATTATGTTTATGTTTACTATATAATTACATTTAATTTTGAGAGTAAGTTATTTTAAGTGCAGACCATATATTAAAGAATTCGTTTACCCTATATTCTGACAAGAAACTATGGAGCGTGACTAATAAATCACTCTACTCATGGCAGGCTCTTGCTATGAGTTCGCTCTGATGAAGCCAAAAGGCAGAAATGTGCATATCAGCCAATGGTGGTACGCTGTAACTGAATCAAGCCTAAACCGTCTATTTTAGTTTTATTAATTTAGATTTAAATTAATAAAAATTAATTTAGATAAATTTAATGAATAAACAAAAATGGTAAAATAGAAGTGATTCTTACCTCACCAACGTCATTTGAGGAGCATTCATTCAAAAGTGGACAGATCCCTCTAACACAATTTCGAGAAAAACGCAATAAACTGATTATTTGTTGAATATTTATATTTTTCTTTTGCAATTTCTGTCATTTTGCGTGGGTTGAATGACACTTTAAACTTACATACCACTTTTGAAAAAAAGCAGTTATATTAAGGCACAAAACTCAAATTAACAAATGGATAAAGTCTTGTTTTGTCTAAACCATGTTGGTTAAGAATGAAATAGATTTAATCCTTTCCCATAAATAGATCAATATGTAAAAACCATCGAGGAATTGAAACAAATTTAAACACCGGCAAGTGCCCATAGACTAGTTCGTGCTGAATATACGTATTAACGTAAAAGAGAAAAGACGACAAAACTATTAACAAACCCTTTAACCGACAGCAATATCCTAGCCAGTAATAAAGAGAAATACCAAGAGGAATTAGCACGAAAACTAGTAGCAAATACCTTAGAGCACAAGTAATATAGATGAACTAGCTGAGAAAATAACCAAAGATATACCTACAAACAGTCACTAAGAAACGTGTTGCAAATAAAAAACAAAATGGAAGCTAAACTAAAACCCGAAACTCTAGAACAATAGCGAAAAGAAGAAGAACGAACAGAGATAACCCGACAATAAAGCGACAACAGAAGCGTTAAGTAAAATATGCAAAAGACCTCAGATTTATAGAACAAACCAGATTCTGAACATGGAAAACCAATAAAACATGAAAGTACTAAAAACTGTAAATACACTGGCCAGGGAATAAAATCATAAAGATAAAAGATGACCGTGGAACCAATTTGTGCATCGCATAGGAAGAGATCGTTAGAGAAATCCGAAAATTTTAATGAGAAGCTGTAACTTTCTACTATTTCCGAACCCCGGAATACCAACAAAACATATCTTAAATGTGGGCTTCAAGGACTTATTTCCCCTGAAATAATAACATCAGAAATTAGAGCCGCGCCCTAAAACAAATGAAAAATGGAAAACACCAGGAGAAATAAAATACTTGCAGAGATGCTAAAAAAATAGGAGCAACTGCCTTAGAAGAGGACAAAAAGAGGGATTACTTAACTAATTGCCTATTGGAAGGACCAATACCGAAGACATGGAAAAATGCTGAAGTCATTCTATTCCATAAAAAAGGGGACGCCGCAAATATAGAAAATACCGACCAATAAACTTATTGACACACCTTTAAAAATACTAACCCAATAATAACAAATAAATGACAGCTAAACTAGATGCATACCAACCATGGAGCAAGCAGGCTTTCGAAAAGGGTTTTAGCACTATCGATTCACTTTGCAAACATTCGACCATTATTAATAAAACAATAGAGTACAAACAAACCACTACACAAATCTGGCATATGTCGTATTATCCACAAAGCAATTCGACAGTATCGAGAAATGGGCTTTCTTAACAGCATTGGAACGACGCCAGATGTAGATACAAGATATGCTGCCCTCCTTAAGAATATAACGATGATAATGCATGCTACTTTTTCCCCCACGTAAAATAGATGATGAATCTGGAAACTAGGAAAATAGACCTTGCAAAGGTCTATTGGCATAGGTTATATACTTTGGCAAAGAAAATGTTTTCAAACCACTAAATTGGGCCGAAAATGGATTAAAAATAATGGAAATTATCCTTAACCATTTTTGCAGTTTGCAGACGGACGGACATAGTACTAATACGCACAGATAATCCATGAACTAAAATCAATGCTCAACAAAATCAATGCTACAAAGATTTTAAAAAAATCAACAAATCGAAAGAATCAAATCAGGATTAAAAATTGAATCTCGCCTCGTCCTCATTCTCGTCTCATTCCGAGACAAAACAAAGATATTAAGCAATAGCCTTCACTATAAATAACACAATATAGAGACAGGTAGAACAATAAATATAGGAACATGCAATTTAAAACAAAAGGAAATCAATACCCAATAAATTAAAAGAAGGACACAATTTAATCATGGGCTGACTTTTTTGGTAATTGAGCTTCATTTTAAAAGACAGAAAAATCCCAATTCAATTAAAACGAAAAACCTATGACACATTGTATACTACCAGTTGCAACTTAATGGATGTGGAAACTAGGCAATAACAAGAAAAAATGGCAGAACATCGTTAAGAGTAGGTAAACTCAACTGGCATGGAGAGGGTGACATGTTAAATATAAGCCTCATGAAGACAAAATTCCTAACACCGAAATACTGTCGACGAACTAAAGTAACCATAAAGATGGCAATGGGTAGCACATGTACAAGACCAGACACCAACCAGGAGAAATGGTCACCATAAAGTGAAAATCTGGAGACCTAGAGACACAAAAATTAGCGTGAGAAGACCTAAAAAGAGATAGATTAGACATATAACTGCTGTAGACTGAAAAGCAGTGGATGAGAATTGGCAAAAGATAGGGAAGCGTGGAAAGCAATTGGAGGAGGCCTATGTCCGTTTCTGACAGGCCAGGCCTTCCATTTCTGTTTGATTGTGGACAGGAAATTATAAAGCATCCTAATAAACATCATTATATATACCAAAACAGAAGCATGGAAATCATATTTTTATTGAATAATAATAATAACACAAGAAATTTGTTGCATTAAAACAAAAACTTAAATATAAGGGTTCAAATATTTTTATTAGTAACAGGAAATGAAATACTGTATTAGCATGACCTTTTTGTTTATACATGCATCTCATGGTCTTCTTCTATACAGTCGCAGTTTGAGTTAATTTCTTCCTCAACCCTTTCTGCTTCGACGTCAACATTACCGGACAATATGTCTAGAAAAATTGAGTTCTGGGAGTTTTTGCCACTGTAACTCCTCATGGTTAAACTGCTTTTCCAACAGTGAATTTACATTTTTCTTTTTTTTTCGACAGAAATGGGATTTCCAAGAGGCATAACATTGAAATTTATATTTTGATCACTTCGATCTCTTTTAACCAGTGGAGTGTATGGTCTGTTTTCATCAAAGTTAAAAAATGCACTTCCCTTCATTTTTATTGAAACTCCTTCCAGAGAAATACATTTCTTTTAGATAAATCTTCTTTATATCTTTAATCAAATTAACCATATTGTATGATTCTTTTGTTCAGTATAACTTTGCGTTTTGCTAGAGCTTCTGTTGTTGCTCCTTCAATGTTGTTTTTAATTTTCTCCCAGCTCGCGTTTATATCTTCAATGTCGTCTATTTCTTTCAGCTGTATTTGCTGTGCTAGGCTCCTTCGGTACATTTCTCTTGTAGAGTCATTCCACAGTGGTTCTACATTAAATTTTTCCTTGGTGATTTCCTGTAGAAAATATTTTGGTATTATTTTCATTTTTATTTTTGCTATTACTAGTTTGTGTTCACTCCCTGCGTCTGCTGAGTTTAAAGTTCAGATATCTAGAATCTGCTTTGGGTGGATTTTTCTATTAGTGACTATAAAGTCAATCATAGATTTGTGTCCACTTAAGTTTTCAAATGTATATTTATACTGGAGCTTATGGTCTAAAAATGTATTATTGATTCTCAGTTCGTTAAAAACGCAGAGATTAGCCATGAGTTTTCATTTGCGTTGAAAAGCTACGCTTGCACTATGAAATCTATATATTTACTGATTTTATAAGCTTATAGTATTTCTAATTATTATAATTTTTTCAGATCGACCTTTATTCTTTTGCTAATAACGTCGATTCCTGCCTGGAGAAAATCCACCCCAACGGTAAGATACTTGAAGGGCCGCAGCTGCGAGAAGAATTCACCAAATTAGTAGCAGCTGTCAAACATCTCTACGAAGAAAGTTGTTGCTTACTACACGATAGGGGAGACAAGCTTAAATTAAGAGACGATCTCGAAAACAAACTAAGCGCTAGTTTAGCGAATACGGAACTGGAAATGAGAAAATGTGTAATGTACGATACTTCTTCGGGCAGTTTGGTATTCTTGCAGCCTCTTCAAGGAGATCAAGTAATTTTTTCAATTATAATAAATTTTATTTAACTCAGATGTATCCAAAGATATTCTAGACCTATTTAGTAGTAATTTTATTGATATTTGGGCGAAAACAACAATATATTCCATTTTTATTTCGGACAAGTAATACATTAGCAATTAGGTTTAAATAAAAGCTGGTCTATTCTTACACCAGTGTCTTTATGTAATTGCCGAGCCATATCAACACTGTGGGCTATTATAGGAAAATATGATGTTTTAACTTTTATGGCTGTATCATACAGACTGATGTTCTGATCAGATCGGTCGACCCTTTCCATGCTTTTATTATACAATTTTACGATAAGGGGGTGGTCTACTTGAATAAATTACTTTTCTTTTTAAAAGTACCTTTTAACTGAAGATAAATTGTGTACTCTACCAGCATTCGAACCCAAATTTACTATATTATTATCTTGTCATTTTGTGAATATGATGTTCATGTCGGCTACTTTTCCATATAATCACCGTCTTCCGTTATAGTACCACTCCCAAAAAAATGTTATCAATTACATGTTCATGCAGAAGCATGGAAAAAAATTTGTCAAAAGGTAAGTGAAGTTTTAAGTCAGTCCATCTAGATCTAAGGTAATCGGCATATTCTAGCACAACAGACGTTCCAACACCTTCTTCTTTATAATGATTTATAACCCGACAAGCGAGAGCTGGCGGGTTACGTGTAGAACAAATTAAAAAGTGGAAGGGGTTGCTCATTTCTATTGCAGTCGGCTAGGAGTTCACATCGTGTATAATAAGCCTATCTTTACATAACGCGATTATATCCACTCCCATATCTCTCTTAGAATATTCCTTTTCTATTTTCGCGCAGCTCACCTGCCAGCTCTCGCTTGTCGGATTATAAAAGTTCTGAAAGAATGCCGTCTGCCCCAGGAGCTTTGTTTTTTTTTTTCACTTTCTGTATAGCTTGGATGACTTCTACCTCTGTTGGAATGTTATCTTTCTGTCTTTCATCGTTAATCTCCTCGAGTTATATCGGTTGGAGCCCTGTCTCTCCTCTTATATTTAGCTTTCCTCGAAGTTTCCTGCCTATCTTTCTAGTATCTGATCCTGATCTAAAATGATCTCTCCTGTTCTATTTCTAACGAATGATAATCTAGGTTTCAATTCTTTCCTGTTCTGGTTAATCCTCTTGTAGAACTTTCGCTTTTCTGTTTGTTCCTTATAGTTCTCTAGTTCTTTTAGTTGACTCTCTACAGTTATAAATAATATTGTATAATTTAATTTATTTTAATTTAGTTAGAAGATTGGAGAATGTTTCAAATACCGACTTGGTTTGTAAATTTTACTTGATACCTAACTCTAAATTTATTTATAGGAACATAAAAGAAAGGGATTATTTTGGCTCAAATTCCGAGCTAAAGGTTCCGGGTCTTCCCAACAACAATCCTCCCAAAAGCGGGAGGTCGCCTCCTGGAGCACTCAGGAAGTGGCTACGTGGTTGGAAACGTTACAACTTTCCGAATACGTGGAGAGTTTCGAGAAAAATGACATTCGCGGTCGTGAGCTACTCACCCTCGCCAGACGAGATCTCAAGGACTTGGGTGTCACAAAGGTGGGTCACGTCAAAAGAATACTGCAAGCCATTAAGGATTTGACACAAGGTTTATAAATACCTACTTAGCACGTAAGTTTCTGATAAATGTTTTTCCCTGATCTCGACGTTGTCGGACAATATGTTACAACTTAGAACAATTTGCGAAGATATTAATTTAAATATAAGAAAATACAATAATTGATATTATACTAGCAATTAATTAGATACATGAACATTAGATAGTTAAATAATTCTTTTTTTTTTTTTGTTACTTTTACTCCCAACCGATCTGACATAATATGTTTTTATGTAATATCGTCACAACTTTTTGGAAAGGTAATTAGGCTTAAGAATATTTAAGATGAGTTTATTTAATGAAAATTATAACCAAAGAATAAGAGACAAAATAATAAAAATAAAAGTTATCCTACAAAAATTAAAATATGCAATGTAATCGATACCAAATACAACACTCCGAAAATAATTTTAAAATTTTTCGAATGCGATGAATTGTGTATGTCTTTTAGAAGCCTACATGTCATATGTACGGCTGCGTCCATTGAATAGTTTACACCCTTAACCCGTAACTACAGACGTGTAACACTTATTACATACATACAGATGTGACGTCTCTGGGACGTACCTCATTTTTGTTAATTAAGAGAAAAAACGGTAATGACTTTTAAGCAGTAGATGTCTCATATGAAGTATGCATCTATTGTGATTACTTAAAATTTCGTAAATAAAACAGAATTACAAAAAATTGTAAAATTGAAAGGGAAAATATGAAACAAAAAAAGTTCTGTGAAAATTAGGGAAAGATAAAGGATTGTTCTCAACATAAAAACTACCCGTATAAAATAAAACACTAACATCACAAAAACTGCAAGGCTCCAACTTGTCATTCATGTCGAACAATCTACACATATTTTTCTGGAATACTCAAGACAAATAGGTCTCCTGCATTGTAAACAAATATAAAAAGTCTGTCTTTTTTTAACAGCTAGGCATATTCTACAGGTCTTTCTACTTTCCAGTTTTGTTTGATTGACAATTGGAAACTGTTCTTGGATTCCCAATACTCGGCTTATACACATTCTTACTTCACGGTTTATACGAGGATTATTAAACCGGCGCTGTAACTCAGGCGTTACCAGTTGCATAACTAATTGTTTCACATATTCATATCAATTTTATATTATCCCGAAACGATTGATGTAATATATAACAATTTACCAAGCTGGTGTCCAATATTCTGTAAAATATGGCCATTGGCCAACGCCTTGTTCTTCGACTGCAAGAATATGTGGCACATTTTTCATCCAATGAATCTACCCCTCCTTTTGTTGTATTATAATCTGCCATTATTTTAGGCTTAGATGTATCTGGGTCAGTTACTTCATAATGGTGCATAAAAGATACAAGCAGTACTGCTCTGTTTTTCTTTTGAACGTGAGATAATATTGTTATATCTTTCGTAAAACCATACAAACTAGAGCCTACTTCTCTATCTCGTCTAGGCAAGAATTTCCGGTGGAATTTCACGTTTGTTCTTTTTTAGTGCTCCAAAAAAACGTTAATTTTTTTTTGTTTTTAAAACGTTTACAGCTTCAATAGATGAAAACCAGTTATCAGCTGTAACATTTCTGTTAGAACTGAAAATTGGTTTAGTAAGGCGAAGCAGAGCTTGCATCGGTTTTGAAAACTGTTTCTCCTAATTTGGTAAAGTTCTACCATCACTGACTTTACCACTGTATATATAGGCATTTAATAAATATCCTGATCTAGCATCACAGAGGGTTATAATCTTGAAACCATATTTGCAAGGTTTTTTGGGCATATACCTTTTAAATTTACAGTGCCCACGAAATGATATCAACATTTCGTCAATGCATACATTGGATCCAATTGAATATCGTAACTGACAATTATGGATAAAGATGTCAAAACTATCAGAAATAGCGGCTATAGGGTCAGTTGCTTTTCTCTGAGTTCGTTTATCGGGGTTATCAAAGCGCAGACAAGTGAGAATACCCTTGTATTTATTGTTGGAACTAGTTACCTATTGGAATTAGTTATGCACCGGAATATGTCTCGTCCTGATGCACCGTAGAAAATATAGATCTGATATAGATGATTGAATTTAAAAATGGGTGTTAACATTAGAGCACCAATAAAAGCCCGAAATTCTATAAGGTCCAAGTCATGGAGATCACTAGTATGTTACGAATATTTTCTTCTTATTTTGGCTATATGTACATTAGTCCAACGTACGACTGTTTCCAGTATTTCATCAGAGAACAGTAGATTCCAAAAATTTAATGGATCACTATTATTATCGTTGGAATAACGTAATACTGGACATCTGATCCAATGATTGTGTTTTGCAGTGCGGCTGTTCTTATTTACTGCAGGTTGGGAAGACCACTTGTAGCGATTTTTTCCATAATAATATATTTTCTTCTCTAATGTTAAATCTTCGCTTGACATGTGGTCAAAGTCTTGATTATTTTGTTCATCTATTTCTACAAAATTTACAGCAACATCGTCTTCTGTATCACTTTCTGTGTCATAATTACTTGGAATGTAATCTCCATCACTTTCGGAATCGGTGACGTCGCTAAGAGCTTCAGTCCATTTTAAAAGAGTTTCTTCATATCAAGGAACATTAAATTTAACGGCTTTTGTCCCTTTAGAGGGCCCAGGTAAATTTCTGTTAGCCATTGAAACACCTAAAATCAATATTCATTAGTCTTTTGACTTCTAAGAAATGTTACACCTGATGTCACTCAAACACCTCGACGTAGATAAAATTGTTTTACAGCTAAACCAAATAAACACTGCACCCCAAATTTCGACAACTATGTCACAACTGTGAACTGATAAATAAAAAGGTAGAGAGAGTTACCAGAGAACTACTAACATGACATAGTTTTGTTCTCGGACAAGCTCAAGGAGATATACACAATGCTACATGAACTTCAGTTAGTGTGTGCCAGTATGGGTCTTAAAATAAACGTCTCCAAAACAAAATTTATGACAAACCCAGTAGGTACCCAGCGGAAATATCAATATTGGAGATAACGAAGTAGATCTGGTGGAAAATGTATATACCTTGGTCACGAAATAGAGATCATATCATACAACCAAAGATGCGAACTACGAAGAAGAATAAACCTAGCATGGGTAGCCTATGGAAAACTCAAACACATCTTTAAAATCGATTTACCAATTTCTTTAAAACGTAAATATAACATTAGTATCTATTTTTAAATTTTTACACCATTTTTAAAATGATTGTATAATAATTATCGTCTGGCACCGCATAGAGAAAGCTATACGTTTCAAACCAGCTATATGATAAATTATTATTAGACATTTTTAGCATACTTGCAAATAATAGTTATAAAATTAAGTTATAGATTCTAAAATATCCCGAGTTTTAGCGTTGGTTGAATATTCAATCAACGGTTTTAGTCTAAAGCATAGAAATGGTTGGTATGCCGTATCGCTATCCGTATATTACTGGTAGACATACGTCGTTTTTAAAAATTATGCCCCATCCACCAAATAACATTAATGGTGGTTTTTTATTTATTATGTCAGTGATGAACGCACAAAAAAATATTTCAAAATTTAATAAAAAAATTAAAATCTTACCTACTAATGCTTAAACCAAAGTTTGAAACATTTTTTAATAACTTGTCTTCCTGGCGTTCTAGTTTTTATAAATGATATTGTAGACTCTCGCTATAATTTAAATATATTTACAAATAAAGTAATTAAATTGGAAACATATTGTCCTACGGCGAACTTTAAGTATACCTGTATGAATGTACTGATATTGTAAGTCATGTAATACCTTTACAACTTACTGTGATTTTCCGACTAGAATAAAATTAGTTTTTAAGTAGATGTTAAAAATGTACTGTATCTGCCAACCAAACAAACCTTTTGCATCTTTTGGAGATGTTTACCAAATTATTATATCGCACATCACATTTCGAGTATCTAAACTTTAGCAAGTTTCATGTTATAAATTTCTATTTCTTCACAATATATCACAAGATAGGTGTCACTTATAACAGTAATAAAAAAGGAAATGTAGTGTACTAAGAAAGAACTTTGTGTGGATCCAGAAATCCGAGACGTAAACAGCTCTTTAAGTAAACAAAATGATTTAATTATTATAAGTCGTGTTTATATATACTTACAATTAAAGTTTGTAAAAGGAGTATATTATTTTTATACATAACACAGTCTTAAGTTTTTAAGTCACGACGTACGACTTTCTTTCAGGACCTCTCCTTTCAAATATTTTCTTTTCTTCTATATTTTCTGTTCCTTATAAAAAAATTTCGTTTTTCGAGTTTTTAGGCATAACATCGATTGTAGTTCAGGTTTTTACTCAATAGATGGCATCTTTAGTTTCATATTTATATCGTGCTCACAATGGATTCTCTTCTACCTACTTTTTTAATCTTTTTATCTTGTGTCAAACTCATCGAGCAAAAGACAAAAGGGGAATGTAAAGGTAGTGGGGGCAAACATATTGTTAGACAGGAAGTGCGATCTTACAGAGCCATCATTAAACAAGGAAAGAGAGTCTCTCTCCTTGTTTGACATCAAATTTAGTTGGGTTATGTTATCTGTTTGTCCTAAATGTCTACATGAAATCTTATTTATATTGAAGTTTTTTAACAATTGTATCGCATTTTAGACTCTTATCATTAATAATTAATTAACAACTTTGTGTCTAAGACACATTCTGAAAATATTATATAGCTTACTGTTGATAAGTATCGGAAAATTTTAAATTTGGCGCATTCGCATTTCCGGATATGTCCGCCATCAGAGGCCAACTTTTTTGGTCTCCTTTCATAAGGATTAGATTCCCTCTTTTGTCTTATTGCTCGATGGTCAAACTCATAGAGTTAAATTTAATACAGATTTAGCATTACAATGTAACGTAAATGTTACAGAAGCTCTTTTTGCGCTGTTTTAATGCGACAACAATTTCCAGACAGTGGTCACAATCTATGTTTATTTTTCATTTATTTTTATACTTTACGTTG